GGGGGGGTGCAAATCGAAAGTTTGAGGGGGGGGTGCAAATCGAAAGTTTGTCCCCGGGTAAAAATTGGAACCCCCCCCCCCTTGAGACGATCCTGGCTACGCCACTGATTTTGTAGGCCTATATTATTAAAGAAAAAAAAGTTTATTATCGATATTAACATTTGTAGCCCATAAACTGATGCAATAAAACTTTGATGTAGGCCTATATGAGACTTAAAATAGAAACAGCATGTGTCCATAACTGACGTCACGCTTCTAAGCCCTGAAATGTACACACAATTTCACTAAAAGTCGCCCCTTAACTCAATCAACATACTGCTGCGTAAGTTTATAACATGCAAATAAAATGCAACATGACATTGTCGCAGATTTACCTCCCCTTCACACCAAAACACTCCAGTACTTTTTGCTAGTTACTGCAAAAACGGTGATTTTTACAATAAATTTTATAAAAATTTACATTGATAATCACATGCTACCAATTAATTTTAAACAACTCTTAATCTTTAGTTTGTGTGTGTGTGTGGGGGGGGGGGTTAAGTGTGTACACGTATATACCTAACTGACAAAAATTTTGCGTAAAAATATAAAGGGCATCAAAGGCAGTATAGTACTAAACAAAATAAAACTACACTCTTCAAGTTATTTTTGTCAAGTTTTTAATATAATTCGGACCAATTCCCCTAATTTTTCTATTGTTTAATACAATAAAATATAATTTGAGTGTGGGCGAATTAAATATAATAAAAGAGATGGAAGATACTAATTTACACCGTTGATGCAAAGTATTTTACTGTTCACAAATCATACGATGTACAGTGTTCGCAATAAACCCCATAGGGTTAATCCTACTCATAGGTAGGGCACGGTAAAATATAAACTTCTCATGCTTTTAAACTGTTTCAGAATATTCAACCTTGTATTTTTCCTGTTCAGAAATAGTAAGTTGCCTAGTGTAAAAAATAAACCCCATAGAGTTAATCAATAAAAGCATTATTTGTTTAGTACAACAGACCCAATGAAACCGACACCTGATTGGCTGGTTAAAGGGTTTATACCTACGTGTTGTTGTGTGGGTTAATCGAAGGGGTCATGTATCAAATTCAACACGGTGTGTGATCGATTGTTTGTACACACTGATGGGAGCCGAGTCACGTGATGTGATGTACATTGCCCTGTGGTGGCGCGTGTAGGATTTCGTTATGTTGGGGGGGGGGGGGGTACTTTTCAATTAGATATCACCCATCCTACAGTTTTATTTGCGTACCTTTACAGTGGAATAATGAGTGTCGCGTAAAACAGTACTTCATTTAATTATATCTATCTAGTCCTAACCATATTCCAGAAAATTGAATTCCAGCACTTCTAGTTGGGGATCGTCAGAAAAGGAAGTTACAGACCTAGCGAGAATGGAGGGGAGGGAAGGTGAGGAGTCGAGTGCATTTTAAAAATAAACTGATAATTTGTGTTTTAAATATTGGGGGGGGGGGGTATTTGTAACGTTAAAAAGTTGGACTTGACACTTTGAGACTAAGTGACATTACACATGAGAGTGAGGGTGGTGGGGTGGGTAAAATTTTATTAAATGGCTTAACACTATGGCTATTGGCAGATTACTTAAGTTAGCGATATCGCTGCGCCGCAGCTAGATTTAATTATGGCGGTACAGCTAATAGAAAAGTTCCTATTTATCGGGAAAACAAATATTTCTTCCATGATAATAGTTCTTCTTCTTTACGACAAAAATATAAACTGCCAAGTTAACATTCTTTTTTAGTTACTTGTAGGTAGATCACTGTAGTAGATAGACTTTTCAAGCTTTTACACTGCTTTTATTCTCTTGCGATTCAGGTAAAACCTAGCGAGAGATAAGCTTCGGGCATTGAGGAATGACAAGACGGCGTGGTCGGTTGGTATAAACCAAAATTCGAGTTCAAGTCCAGGGCCGGAGCCTGTATAACGTCACTGAGTCCACCTAACTGTGATGGTACCAAACCTGAATCTGGGAAACTCAAAGACGCTGGTTATAGGACTAACCATGCCCGTAGAGGCAGATAAATCCTATTTCATCTATTCGATAAAGGAGCATGGTTATAGAAATAACCATGATAACAGAGGGAATTGAACTCTACTTCATCTACTCTATTGACCGTCTCCTAAAAGGTAACTTTACCTCTGTAGAATAACTCACTACATTGAATGCTAATATAAAGAATAAAAACAAAGAATATATTAAAGAAAAACAGAAGTTTCTTTAAAAATATAAGTTTATTATTTTGAATGTATTTAAATTTTCTATTTACATTTGACTAGATGACTCAGAGCATGGCACGATGCCGATGCTACACAGTGTTCTGTACAACACACACAACCTCGTTCTGTTAATATAACAACAGCACGTCCTTCTTTTACATCACTTTTATCTTCTCTCTATCCTTTTCTAAATACTCATACAAAAATCAACTCATACGCTCCTGTCTCTCTTCAAACACAACCCCTACATCATACACACAGAGTTTCTTTCAGACATGTCCTCGAAGGGGACGACCCCCACCCCCCGAACGAAATAGAATTTATATAGAAAAATATACTTTTACCAGTGTCCGCCCTCCCCCTCTGGGAAATTTAATCTCCCCCCCCCCCCCCCCCCCCCCACAGAAAATTTTAAGCTCCCCACCCCATCCCCGGAGAACAACTTCTGAAAGAAACACTGCATACATATCTCTACACATACAACGCTCTACTCATACCCTCCTCTCCGATTCCAACACAATCCCCGCCTCATACACAAGACAACGCACGCATTTCTCTCCATCCAAACCACAAAACTAAAACATCAACAATACAATTTTGTAAAAAAATAGTTCTCTGGTTATAGAGTAAAAACCATTACGGCAAAATCATTTAACATTATATAGATTGTATGGTACAGTATTGCAGCAAATGCCTCTCGTAATATTTGTACAGTGTTTGGTATATACATTTATTAATAGAGTCATGTAATTTATTTTAAACATAAAACTTTGGTGCATATTTTACATAACATTTCAATAAAATAACAATTATGGTGTAAGGCATAAAGGCAAACGGCATATAGGCAATGAAGTAATAGACAGAAGGCATATAGACCCATGAGCATCTATCTATCTATATATATAATTCTCTTCTTCGAGCCGTTAGAAAACAAGCTGCAAACGCTCTCCCTACCTCCCCACCCCTACATGGTTTTAGTGCGCTGTGTTCACTCTAAATGTTTACAAGCAGAGCCAACGATTTTAAACGTAGGGGGGGGGGAGGGAAGGAAGGGGGGGGGGGTTATGGTCCTTAACGAGCTACTTATAGTGTTTTAAAGAAATATTTTCAGTGTCAGCGTTGGTACTGTCGAATTCACAAATTATGAATTATTGAAAATTAGAAACAACTAAATAGCGGCGTATGTTATGCCGCGGGCCGGCTCGTCTATATATATAATTCTCTTCTGGGAGCCGCTAGAAAACAAGCTGCAAACGCTCTCCCTACCACCCCCACTCCTAAATGGTTTTAGTGAGCTATGTTCACTCTAAATGTTTACAAGCAGAGCCAACGATTTTAAACGTAGGGGGGGGGGGGGGAGAAAGGGGGGGGGGGGTCCTTAACGAGCTACTTATAGTGTTTTAAAGAAATATTTTCAGTGGCAGCGTTGGTACTGTCGAATTCACAAATTATGAATTACTGAAAAGTAGAAAAAACAACAACTAAATAGCGGCGTATGTTATGCCGCGGGACGGCTCGTACATAGAAAAGGACATGTTACAAAAAGGCTAAAAGATATAAAGTAACATATAGATAAAGTGCTTATAGATAGAGGGCATTTACAGAAAATTGCATATTGATGAAAACCCTTATAGACATGGGCATTTTTGATAAAGAGTTTATAGACAGAAGGCATTTGCAAAATGGACATATTGACAAAAAGGCTTATGTATATAGATTGAAGAGCGTATATGCAGAAGGCATATCAACAAAAGCCATTAGAAACAGTGTGTATCTCAAACAAAAACATCAACATTGAAACATGATCTGCTACGGGGCGTAGACTTAATTAGTCAACAGCACAAGGACTGTAGGCAGTGTCGTAGATATATAAACGGAACCATAAACTGATGATTTGCTGACTGAGTTGTTTACAGTAACGCTGTGGTCGAGCAGTAAAGCATACGAGTACCAACCGGAAAGTCTCAAGTTCGGACCACGGGCTTTATTTGGAAGGCGAATAATTTAAATCTTAATAAACCGCTTGCTAATTTGCCTACTATCAACTAAAACAATTTTTCTTACAAAGATGTAAAGAATGTTTCATCTTAGAAAAATATATTTAACAGTTTTAATGCGTAATTCTACATGGTTGACAGAAACAGAGTTACCTCGCTTAGATTGTATTTCACATGTAATAGTGATACCTAACAACTCTTGATACAACATTACAAGCAAAAAGTAATCAATAAATCAAACTCCACATTCGTCACGTACATATGTAAATAATTATTGTTTGTTTATTGCCGCTGTACATTGGCAGAGAAAAGCTGAACAAATAAGTTTTGTTAGGGATAAAACTCTCTTATACGGGCATAACCGTCTCAAGTAATGCTCATTGGATAAGCAGAACACAAGAGGATGGAGAATCGAGGACCTCACCTAGCCAAGTGCTAGACCTGTGGGTTCCATTCTCCTCCACCAACCCGCTAGACCCGTAAGGTCCCATTAGACAGCCTCCTCCACCAACCCGCTAGACCCGTGGGGTCTCATTAGACAGCCTCCTCCACCAACCCGCTAGACCCGTGGGGTCTCATCAGACAGCTTCCCCCACCAACCCGCTAGACCCGTGGGGTCTCATCAGACAGCTTCCCCCACCAACCCGCTAGACCCGTGGGGTCTCATCAGACAGCCTCCTCCACCCGTGGGGTCCCATCAACAGCCTCCTCCACCAACCCGCTAGACCCCTGGGGTCCCATCAACAGCCTCCTCCACCAACCCGCTAGACCCGTGGGGTCCACCTCCACCAACACTACCTTGTTGGCTATGATGATGGACAGTTTGTTTGATGGACGACCTACGTCTCGAACCCGAGTACCGAACTCGTGACTTCCGGGTTAACGTGATCTACCGCTAGACCACACCGTCCCATATCAAACAGGACAGGAAGACTTGGAATGCAGTAGATAGATTTAAAGTATACGGTTGTATGCAGCAATAAAACTAAATACAATGCATGAAATGTTATAGATTTAACAAATGTTCTACACATTAAAATGCACAGAAATTTGAACCAAGGAGCCTCAAGAAATATTAACACTTTGTATAAATGCGTTAAGAAATGCTGTGTGTTTATAATTTAGCGAGTTATAAAAACTAAAGTAAAAAACTTTTAGTGTCTGCAAAGTTCCTCATTTTATCCGGGTATAAACGTGTCCAAATGCATCAGTTTATATCTAAGAACTCGTGAGCATTAAGCAACATTCCAAAGACTGAGTAGTTCATAGGAAGTCCAAGTGAGTCTTAATGTCTTTAGCTTGAAAAACAAGAATCTGAAGCAACTATCCATGGGGTAGAGCGTTGACTCCTCCAAGCGCATCTATACCTAACACGGGATTCTGTACCACCAACAACCACGAGAGTGATGCATGGGGCGTTCAGGAGACGGTCATCACGTGACCGCCCGAAGACGAGAGGCTGATGAGGTCAGATTCTGTCGGCGCGCCCGGCATCCAGATTTTAGCGGAGCGCGTGCTCTGGGTCTTGACGTCACTTTTCTTGTGGCACCAGGAGAGGGAGTGGCCGATCACCGTCTGCCCGCTCTCGAAGTCGCAGTCGTCGATGTCTGGGGAGAGAGGAAGTGACGTCAGATAGTGGGATTTTTTTTTTTTTTTACAAAAACATGCGCCCATGGCAGTAAAAATAATAACGAAAGTGGTTGCTAGTCAAATTAAAGAGCTTTAATCGTTGGTTGTTTTTTTTTTTTATTAAAGATATTTCTACCCAAGGTCTTCATTAATATTGGTGCAATAGTTTGATGATGCTTTAAAGAAAACGCAAAGATGCTTAAAAGCTCGCAGCACTGAGAACTAAATGTAACATTATGTAAATAATGTGAACTGCCTTCCTTTTTATTTATGTTATAATTTGTTTTAACTTTTTATTTGAACTTCTTTTTTTCTTAATCTTTCTTTTTTTTTTTTTTTTTTTTTTTTTTTTCATTTTTCAGTCATTAGATCTAGTCTAGTGACTGGTTTCTCTATTTATGTTTATTTACACAGAAAAGACTCGATGCATGAAAAAAATTTCTAACATTTTCAAACTGCTCGATGTCCGAAAAATTCCTTCGCTGTCTTCTTCTGTAACAGAAAGCCTACGACGGGGCTGTGGGGGGGGGGGGGGGGGACTACATCATGTACCAATCATCAGCATCAAGTCTGACAATAAACCGAATTAAAGATAAGAAAACACAAAGGTAAGTCTAGTTAACGTGAGAGACAGTCATCTGCCGAAGCATACACTGATGGTTAGAGAGTAGGAAAAAAAAATATTTCTCCAGCTGGTAGTTCTCTTTCTGTTAACTCCACAAGAGCTAATCTCGAAGCACACTTCATCGCGTGTCGAAAGACTATACTCTCGACACATCTTAGTATCGCGTGCGGTAATTTAATCATCAGCTGTGGTAGATTTCAGACCGTATCAATCTATTTATGAAACAGGTTGTTTTTGTGACGTTTCTCTCTTTCTTTGTTGATCTGTACCTTAATCTTTGTCTAGGCTTTGTTCAATTACGACGCTGTTGTTTTTTTTCTTCGCCATACTTAAAAGATAAGCTGTGTCCTTTATTAAAGAAGGTCATTCTCCTAAGAAACCATGGGTTTTTTTTTTTTATATTTTCTTTTTATTTACATGAATAGTCTAGAGATACATTTTATTTAAATGTGAAAAAAAAAACAGTATGTTATAATATATCATTTGTCAATTTTTCGGAAGGTTTATTTTAAATTATTATTCAAAACATATGTTAGGGGTGAAGATATTAGTTTATATTATGATACGATTAAATAAGCCATAACTCAATTCAACATTAATTTAATTTGATGAGTCAGAGGACTATTAAGCTTCATACGCATTTAGAACTTAGTTGTAACTAAGACGTTATTTGCGACGCCAAGCAAAACGACTAGGATATACTTATGAATGATTTGAAAAAAAATGACTTATATGAAAGTGTTTACTGTTAAAAGAAACCGTAAAAAAAACTTTAAAAAATACATATAAATTAAGATAGACTGGGGGGGGGGGGGTGGAGATACGAACATTGTATGCAAATTTTTCTAATATATTTAGGCTTTGTGACCTAAAATATAACGTTTTTAAGTATATGTTAAAGTGTACATTTAATTTTTTTTCTGGTAAACAGTATAAATTAAAGGTTATACTGTTTATCTAAATACTATACTTTAAATTATACCCTTGATGTAAACAGTTTAAATATTAGGTAAACCATTAACATTATGCCTCTACATGCTACTCATATTTCCGTTATATTCTATTGGAACATTCTGTGTTCTAGAAGAACACATGTTTATCCATAAAATTAAAAGTAAAGTTCCCTTTTCAAACCTGACGGTCTATGGGGCAAGTGATGTAGAGTTCACCTGTTTCTGTGACCTCGGTATATGAAGAGATAGTGTGGTCAGCACTATGCCCAGCCGTGTTTACTTTCCCTAACGTGAGTTAGGTAGCCATCAGAGCTGGGTGAACTCAGGAACGGTCTACTGACTTGAACCCGGATTCAAACTCGAGACTTATGGGTTTGCAGCCCAGCTCTCTACCGCTAGACTACTCTGTCCCTTAGTCTTTCCGTAGTGCTTGCCTATCTGATCGTCTGGAACTCATGCGATGAGATCAAGTTCCTGGATTTTCTCGACGTTACAAAACTCAGTTTTACAGAGATTTTATTATAGGTGAGAGAAGGAACTCGTTCCCATTTTTTTTTCAGTGAGGAGTTAAAAGTCTTGTTCACAGGTTCTCAGGGTGTCAAAACTCTCTAATAAAGGAACATTTCATGTTACCTTTGTACCAATGTGAACGGAACAACTCATACTCACTGTCAAAAAGGGATCAACTCGGGTTCCCTGTTTGAAAAGGAACAACAAAATCCCCTATGTACCGGTGTGAAAGGAACGACTCAAACCCCCTGTCCAAATGGAGCAGCTCAAGTTCCTTGTTTGAAAGGAACAACTCAAGTTCCTTATGTATCAGTGTGAAAGGAAGAACTCAAGTTCCCTATGTACCAGTATGGAAGGAACAACTCAAGTTCCTTATTTTCAAGGAATAACTCATGTTCCCTGTATACCCCTGATAAAAGGAACACCCCACGCTCCTGAACATCCACCCTGACACACCCAACTCACCGGTGTAATGGCACTTGAGGATGATCTTCTCCTGAGACTTCCTGTTCTTGGAGCTGTCCTTGACGTCACCGCATGTCTTGACCAGCTCTGACAGGTAGGAGATGTACCTGATGGCCAGCCGCAGTGTGTCCACCTGCAAGGACAACAGTTGACCACGTGAACACGGGCAGGGAATTAGAGCCGTGAAAGGTTTTTACACATCATTTATTTGTACATGTTACCTTCATTTTTTATGTGTTCTTTGTTTTAATTTTTCTAAACCACTGTAATTAACCACTTTTCCCTTTTGTGCCCAAGATACATTGGGCCACCACAGAAAGCTCCCTAAATTTTTGTCCGTCTCCGGCTATTTTCCTGGCAGCCCCCCCCCCCCCCCCCCCTCAAGACAGTCCTGCCTCTGCCAAATGCTTCCCCACCGTGCGCCTCCACATCTCCCTTGACCTTCCTTTCTTTTTTTCTTTTTCTTGAAGCTTCCAGTTTAGCGCCGTTCCTGCGACATCATCTAGATTCATTCTTAGCACGTGTCCCCTCCAGCGCCATCTTTTTTCGATGTTTTCGGAAATTGTTTCCCATTCCATCTTTCCTAGTAGTCTATCGTTGGAGATGGTGTTAGGCCAGAGGATAACTTTTTCCATTCGTAAGCACTTTGGATGGCATCCAGTAATCTACTGGTGACGGCTTTAATTTTCAAGCATAAGCTGCCATATTGTGAGATGCTAAGGACATTCCTTTTGAAAAGTCTACGTTTGCTCTTGGGGGAGATTTTCTTCCATCGCCATGTTTTCTACATGGTAGCAAAGTTTTACTTGGCTTCAGAGATGCGTGTTTGAATTTCAGCGGCGCAGTCTCCTACATAATTGACAATGTTGCCTAAATATGTGAAACCTTTTACTTCCTATACTTGTCTGTTGTTTGTAGGTTCTTGACTACATGTATTTTGCTTCACAAATTTGGTTTTAATCTTACTATACAAACATTATTTGCATGCTGTGAATGTATCTACTTTACTCGCCCGTTTATGGCCTTACCACTTATGATAATGCTCATTAGTCAGACATACTGGAACAGCATTAATAATTGACAATTTCTCTCACCCATGGTACCAGCCGCAAAACAATGGGTTTCCGCCAGAAATTTTCTTCCCTCCCCTTCCCACTCCCCCCCCCCCCCCCCCCCCAGAACATCGCACCGCCTGGTTTGGTCAAGAGGGGACGTTGGTCAACAAACGACCAACGGCCTCGAGCATGGGTTCAGAGCTCCCATTTTCTTTACTACTGCTGTGAGTTAGGTTTTATGATATGAATAACAGATGAACGGATACCAGAGCAAGTTCAGCGAAAAGAGGTACCTTACTACATATTTTATTGGTGGGTTAAAGAAAAGGTGTCAAGAATTGTAGAAGGTCTCGAGTTCGGATCTCGGTTCGGTTATGGCTGTCCGATGTCCTTGAGTTCACTCAGCTCTTATGAGTATCTGACATACGTTGGTAAAGAAAAAAGCGACTGGGCATAGTGCTGACCCTTTATACACCGAGGTCAAGAAACTTATGAACTCTACTTCATCTACCCAATGGATCGCTAAGTCTAAAGAGGAACTTTACTTTTATAGAACACATTCATACCACGAACACAATTTGTATTCAGAAGATAACATTCGGCCACAGAAACTCATTAATTACATGAATTTAAGTAGTATTAAATGGCACAGCTAAAATCCGATTCAAAGTCAGTAGAGCTTCCACCCAACTCTGATGGGTACCTAACTCATGTTAGGGAAAGTAAAGACGGCTGGGTAAAGTGCTGACCACACCTTCCCTTTATATGCCGAGGTCAAGAAACATGTCTGCCCAATTGATCGCTAGGTCTAAAAAGTATTCTTTACTTTTTACTTTTCTATTAAGAGCTTACGCGTGCTACACAAACAGTTATTACAGAAGTTAAGGTTATCCAATATTAAATGGGACCGCTAAAATCCGAGTCCACCCAGCTATGATGGGTACCTAACTCGTAAGGGAAAGTAAAGACGGCTGGGTAAAGTGAGGGGGTGCAAATCGAAAGTTCGAGGGGGGGGGGGAGTGCTAATCGAAATCTTGAGGGGGGGTGCAAATCGAAAAGTTTTTCCCCGGGCGCCGACCTTAGGGGGCGCCAAAATGGGTTGGAAAAATAAATTCGAAAGGTTGAGGGTGGTGCAAATCGAAATCTTGAGGGGGGGGGGGGTTGCAAATCGAAAACTCTGTCCCCGGGCGCCGGGTAGGTTCGCTACGCCTCTGGACCACACACACCTTCCCTTTATATATAAGAGGATTCTTTACTTTTTACTTTTTTATAAAGAGCTTACGCGTTCTATATAAACACAGTTATAACACAAGTTGAGGTTATCTCGTATAGAATACAGCCATTCATACCATGACCAAACACTTAAAGCCTTAAATTTACCTTAGAAAGCCTCCTATCCGCATTGACGTTCGACGGTATCCGCCTCCTCAGATGCTCAAAGGCGTCGTTAATGGACTTCATCCTCCGTCTCTCCCGCATATTGGCCGCTTTCCGCTGCTGGTTTTTCTTTGGGGCGCCGCCTTCCACCAAACTCTGAATCCGGTTGTCGAAAAAGTTGCCGTAATTTTCTTGGTCCGATTCAGGAGAATCCAGGTACGCGTCCGAGTGAAAATCCGGGAAATCCCCGTAAATTTGGGGGTTTCCGCCATAGTCGTAGGAAGATTCCATAGTGTAGCCATGGGCGCCGCAGAATTCAAGAAATCCTTCGCCTAGACCGCACATGTACCCGTCCATTTTTGTTTCGTATTTTTTGTTTTAATATTTTAATTTATTTATAATTTTTATTTTCGAATTTCAACGTCCGGTTAAGAAAACAAAATTTTTGCGATAGTCAAAACTTTACTTTTTTTTAAGTCAGAAATTATTATTATTTAATAAATTAATCCAGATTGTTTGTAATAAATTGAAATATGTGTTTTAAAGTTATAAGTCACGCTTTTCACTATTTTTTAAAAAGTTGACAGTTGATCAAAATTATATTTTTTTCTTGTCCAAATTTGTATAGTCTGTTTAAAATTATTTCATCACTTTTTCTAAAACTTTAAATCCTGTTGAAGTATAGAATCTATATTCTTTCAAGTTCAGATGAATAAAAAAAAAGTTAATCCTTTTGACTTAAGACAAGGGCTTACCGCCTTGCCAATGGAACGCTGTCTTGAGAGAATAAAACACAACAGAACTTGTGTACGAACGTATGCCTGGTCGAGCTCACCAAACAAGGGGACGCGACCTGCCACTTCCAGTCCAGCAGACAATGGTTTAATTGATAAGATCGGCCTACGACAAGGGGCCCTAACGGTGGCCGGAACCCGCGGCACGTGCCGGTTTGACGAACCACGCGACCCGATTGTGACACGGCACACGAACGGCGTCAACGCGCATGACAGAGATGTGTTTTTTAGCAAGCCAGGCCACGCCCCGGCACGCCCCCTTTTTGTGTGGCTTTTGCGGCTCATTTATGGCCGTTAAATCGTTAATTAGCTATTCTAGTTCACGATTGAACAACTACAACACTACCTTATTTAGATGAGCCGGGTTAAATGACAAATAATGTCAACACATTTTCATAGTTGATGACTTTATAAATATCAATGTTGTCAAACCGAAAGAATGCCCTAACTTTTTTTCATAAGCTTTCTTATATTTTCCTCCCCCCCCCCCCCCTCTCCATTGTTTTATCAAAAAGAATGTATGCCCATGGTTCAGTTTCCGCTTACAATATCGAGTTGCTTCCCCTGTTGCAGTGACATGGAAAAAATAAACTAACCATTTATGACGCTCGCACGTAGATGGAAGGGGTTGGTTATATATGAACAACCGGGCTATACTTTAACAGTGTGTCCCCCCCCCCCCCACCCCGGGAAATTCACCCTCATCCCCGGAAAATTCTAGTTACATTTTTCTGGATGTAAAGAGATGGAGGGGGGGGGGGGGAAAGAAATCTAAAAGTGGACTGGGTGGAAAGGAGGATTTACACTGCAGATATTTTTTGGAAGTCACCCATGGACAACCCCCCCCCCCCCCCCCCCCGTTATTGGCTATTGACAAGTTATAAAAATGATCAGATGAAAAAAAAACCACCTGGAAATGACTGGCATTTTCTAGCACGGTGAGAGGTCATAATACCAAAAGACGCAGTAACACAATGTCTTCTCTGTGATAAAACCATATGATAGTAAAAGTAAACAAAATGGGAAAAAATAGTGTTGGTCATTTCGTTGTTGTTGTTTTTTTTTTTATTTAACGTTAGGGATATGCCAATTTTTTTTCTTCTTATAAGTCTTATACTGCGAATAACAGGAAATCGTCTAAAAATGTGATAGTAATGTTGTATGCTAGTAGTTAAGTACCAACATTCGGAATGTTAAGCATGAAAATTAGCAATCCGATTGCTGGTACTTTACTAGTTGCTAGTGGTAAAAAAAAACTCAAACATTACAAAGCATTATAAAATTGTCAAATGATGATTTGAAATTTAAGTAGTAACGTGCCCTTTTTTAAATATTTTGATTCTACCAGTTGCAGTGGCTTAATTTATTAAGAGGTATAAAATTAATTAATTCTACGACTAGGTTCCTGCCTGTAACTTATTTTGTTTTTTTTCTAATCCATAAAGAATAGAGAAGTGGGTTGTGGACTCTAAAATCCGCCCCCTCCCCCCCCCCCCCAAAAAAAATACACACACACAAACACATACGCACAAAATTTAAACGTACATAAACACATACACGCAAAAACATTTACACAAATTGAACGATAATGTTTGTTTTACAAAACTAAAAGGGACATAACTGATCTTTCCTTTCTTCTTTACAACTCCTTGAACATCTGATAATTTTTTTTTTTATCTATCCTCGCTAGCTGACCAAGAGGCTGGATAAGGTGGAGAAAAGGGAGAGAATAAGGCAATCGCGAGACTTGAATAACACTTTTCCCCCTTTGATATCCCGCTAAAGAGGGTCGGACATGAGGGCACGCGACCCAAGCGGGACATTAGTAAACACAGATCGTGTGCCCTTGTCGGGCGATAACGACGACCCTCCTTCTCCCCCTTCTCCCCCTTCTCTTCTCTCTCTCTCCATGTCTCCCCTACTCCTGCCTCCCTCCATCAATTTTTACAATTTTACAAAAATCCATTATCATCAGTCACAACAAAGTCGTCTTAATCAGGTGTTGTCCCTTCCCCCCCCCCCCCCCCACCCCCCACACAAACAAGGGCGCACGCAGTATATTTTTTACAGAGGGGAGGGTACGCTAGTAAGAGAGAGAGAGAGAGTTATATACTAGTGTACCTTGTAGGAGGTGCCGACGGATTTATTTAGCACCTCGTATCAAACATAGACAGCCGTAGTGCTCACGGGGGAGTGGTCACGTTTTTTTTGTGTGTGCAGAAAGCTTCCCATGAGTATCCTCAACAACTTCCTAAAGTTTCATGACGATCGGATGAAAAGGTTTAACAATGAAAGGATGGACAAACAAATATATATTGTTACGACTCCCTTCTCTAATCCTTTCGAACTAGTCAGGGAATCGTAAACAAGAAGATAAATGTAACCTAATTCTAACACGTGCCTCGTTGATTGTCTCCATCTAGACCTGTTCAATCTGGGTCACGTCTGTTGTCAACCCTACCCCTGCTATATACGCCCCCGCGGTCGTAACAATATATATATATATATATATATATATATATATATATATATATATATATATATATATATATATATATATATATATAGTTGTTGAGGAGAGATTTCTGAGGATTGGCGGTGCCCCGGCAGAAGGGTGTCTTCATCGGCGACTATCATAGCACCTGGGATCCATTGATTTATGCGTCCTGCACAGGGGTTCTGGGAAAATATTTAATTCAAAGGTCAAAATGCACCAGTCGCATCAGCAGGGGTTCAAGAGGTCGAGTGACCGAGCCTCCCCGTGAGCACTATGTCGCCTACATTTATTTTAAAGAGCTCCAAATTCTTTGGGTACGTCTGTCTACTATAATGGTTAACTAGTTTGAAACAGTCGCGTCCGCATGTGTGGGGTAAACTGGACCCCCCCCCCCCCCCCCGGCTCCTCTGCCCTGTAGTAGTATGACGCGTACATTCGATTTAAGTAGTCGCCTTATTGTGCGATTTTTTAAGATAAAATAGAGCTTTCGTTTTCCTCAGACATGTAATTTACAGCGTCAATTTGTCTTGCATGTGCGCTTTAGTATTACAGTTTTCATCATCGGCTTGTGAGGACTGATACAGATTTACAGTAGTAATACTTCTTTCTTTCATGTAGCCTACTGTCATTTATTTAATATGGTTTACTAATACATAGTGATTCGAGGGATTAATTTTTAATCGGGGTGGTGGGTGGAGAGGGGTTTGGAATTTCACGTATTTTTTTTTTTTTTTTTTTAATACTTTTATTTGCAATTAAAACAAGTACATCAACATCAAATTTTTTAACATAATTTTGAACACCAAATGAAAACGAAAGGTTTTGCAAATGTACATAATGAATATTTACATGATGTCATGTATTTGATTATAAAAAAAAAATTGCAAAGGATGACAGTAAAAGGGGTGAAGGTCAAATGAAAGTGTCAGAAGTCTGGGTGGGGAGAGGAAAGGAAATTTTTCAGAGAGGGTCAATGGGACAGGTAGAACTGAAATAAATTTGGAGAGCTATAATTCAGATAAAATGTAGTAAATCAACTCTTGATGTTTATTCTTTATTTAAATATTAAAACAACAAAGTCTAATGCTTTTAGTTATAACATGTATGATATTTTTAATTTACATTTTAGAAAAAAGAAAAGAATATTGTTTTAATTTATTAAAAAACTTGTTTGTTTTTTATTTTTACGCTTAAAACTCTAGGCCTACATAACACGATTTTAGATTTTCTAAATTTATGCTTTTTTTATTTGTTTAAAGTTATTTCCCTTGTTCAAAATTTTAAATGTCAATGGGAAGTAATCAATGTTTAGCTTGACCTATAATATCTTAACAAAACATCTGTAAGAAGTGTATCAAACTAAACCATTAAATACCATACAATACAATGTCTAACCCTACATATCACATTAAATATTGTGCACGCCAAAAAACATATTAGTGATATAGTGTAGTGGTGGTTTATCATAGGACATTGTTCTTTTACAGTGGGTACGGGGGCGACACAGAACTACATAACAGCTTTTGATTTCCCGTACTGTTTTTTTGCCGTTTAGACTGGTTGCCTAACGCATTTTATGTTTAGTAATCTCAACACGTGAAACAGTTTGCTATTATGACGGTTCTTATACATCAACAAGTTTTGTTTGCTACTTTTCATTATTCCGATACTGTAATGACATTGAAAAGCAATAAGTAATCTATGACGTACTGTCTCTCCCCTCTCTCCCTCCCCCCTCCCAAAACATGCTTATATTATCGCCCCCCCCCCCTCCCCGAAGAGACCCTAAAAGAAACATTGAAATTGAAATGGAATATCTGACTTTTAAATTATTTTATATTTAGTATTATTGTCGTATATTTAAATTCCAAAAATGTAATTTGTTTTGTGACATTTAAGCAGGTAGTTTTTTAAATTCCTTTTTAAAACCATACAAGCGTTTCTTTAAAAACAAAAGTTGATTTTAAAAAAAAAATGCTGCCCCGGGTGAGGATCGAACTCACAACCTCCGCATAACTTATCCCATGACCACATGGGGAAGGTACTGTCTATAAGTACGGCGCGCTAACCGATTGTGCCACCGGGGCTGCGTATCTAGGTGGTACAGTATGATAACACACTTTCACCTGGGAGATATCTC